CTTACAAAATGGATCTGCAACCACAAAGGGGTCCTCAGAGCAGTCCCACAAACGGAAGGAGTCATGGAAGTGAAAGAAGTACTTTTGAAGGATGACAGGCTCCCAGCTGAGAGAGCATTGGGAATCATGTGGGATCTAGAGAATGACGAACTTGCAGTCCGAATCCAGATCCCAACGAAGCCACAAACGAAGCGAGGCCTCCTGAGTATAGTCAGCTCCATATACGACCCAGTAGGAATCATCGCTCCGAGCACCATACGAGCCAAAATCATATTCCAGGATGAGTGCAGGCGAGGCATCAGGTGGTTGAGCAAATGACCAAACACAACAGAGCCACTTGGTGGCAGTGGCTAAATGAACTTTCCCACTTGTCTCAAGTACACATCCCTCGATGTTACCACCCTCAATGCGCAAATCCAATAACTACGGTACAACTGCACCACTTCTGAGACGCCTCCCAGCAAGCATACGGGGCTGTATCCTACCACAGGATCACAAGTGGAGACGGAGCCCACTCTACCTCCTTTGTGTATGGCAGAGCCAAGCTAGCTCCTCTGAAACAGCAAAACATACCTCGGCTCGAGCTATGTGTGGCAGTGTTGGCGGCCAAAGCAGACAAACAACTGAGAGAAGAACTTGAGTTGCAGATCGACAGATCAGTGTTCTGGAAAAACAGCATGGTCACCCTTCAATACATACGAAACACTGAACGCCGCTTCCATTCCTTTGTGGCAAACCAAATTGCAACGGTACATGAGAATTCTGATGCAGAACAATGGCGACATGTTAGCTCCAACCAAAACCCAATTGATGATGCCAGCCATGAACTGCATGGGGCAGAATTGAACAAGGACTGCAGATGGATTCAGGGACCCCCCCTTTCTCCTGTTGGGAGTAAACAATTGGCTAAAGAACCCAAAGCCAATTCCTAACCTTGCAGATGGAGACCCGGAGGTAAAAAGAGATGCAACAGTACTGGCAACGAGCACTGACCAGGGGGAGAGTACCCTAAAAAGGCTATGGGTAAGGTACTCCTCATGGCATCAGCTACTGAAAGGTGTGGCGTGGCTCAGGAGGTTCATACAGTGGGGCTTCAGCGATCCAAAGGAAGAACGTCACCAAGAAGATCGACTGAAGATCAGCGAGTTGGATGAGGCAAGATTAGCTGTCTGGCGACTGATACAAAGGGAGAGTTTTCCCAACGAGATGGATGCGCTGGAACGAGGACACTCCGTCAGGACTGGTGACGTAAACAGACTGGAATCTTAACTGGGTGCAGACGGCCTGATCAGAGTAGGAGGCCGACTGAAGCATGCGGCTCTCCATCCAGACCAAAAGAACCCCATACTGTTACCCATGGAGAAAAAAAAGAAACAGAACTTATCATACAAGAGGTACATTCGACCAGGGCTGGCCACTCAGGATCCGAGCACACACTAGCCGCGCTACGCAAGATATATCAGATACCCAAGTGCCATAAGTTGATCGACCAAGTACTACGTACGTATGTAGTTTGTCGAAGAAGCAATTGGAAGCCTACCCACCAATGCCAAGCTGACCTCCCAGAGGACCGGATACATCCAGAAGATCGGCCATTCACCTGCACCGAAGTCGACTGTTTTGGTCCCTTCATGTTTAAACAAGGCCGGGCCCGGGTAAAAAGATGGGGATGCTTGTTTACATGTCTGGCCACCCGAGCTATACACCTGGATGTCCTCACCTCACTGGACACAGACTCATTCATCAACACCATGAAGAGGTTCACATCCCGCAGAGGACCACCCAAGCGCATCAGATCTGACAATGGAACCAACATGATTGGAGTGAACAGAGAACTTCAGGAGGCGGTGAGTAAGTGGAACAGCAGTGACAATGTTAGGAACACACTTGCAGACAAATAGAATGGAAGTTCAACCCTCCGACTGCCTCTCACATGGGTGGAGTATGGGAGCGTCAGATCCGAATGGTGAAGGTTCTCCAGTGGGTGATGGGCACACAGGTACTATATGACGAGCAACTCAACACCCTGTTCTATGCCGTGGAAGAGATTGTCAACGGGAGGCCTATCACCCCAGTATCCGACGACCCGAGAGACCTAGAAGCACTCACACCGCTTCACCTACTGCGAATGCACGCGGGATTCCTGCCCACTGGAAGCGATCAGTCCATAGCTGAAGCGTACTGACGAAAATGGAAGCATGCTCAATTCATTGCAGACCCATTCTAGAAGAGGTGGGTGAAGGAATATCTCCCGACACTCCGGCGGCAACAGAAGCACTTCCAGGCGCACCGCAACTTCCGCACTGGAGACATCCTCTCCCAAGGAGCAAATGGATGCTAGGAAGGGTATTGGAGGTGGTACCGGGTGATGACGGCCTGGTGAGGTGCGCCAAAGTGAAGACAAAGGACTCAGTGTTATTACGTCCAGTAAGCTCTGCCTATTGGAGGGAGTCGGAGAGTGAGACTCCCGGCAGACAATGGGTTTTGAGCCAGCTCAACAGGGGGTGTTACCGCCACAGTAGGATAAACTAGAAGAGAGAGGGAGACAGGAAAGAGACAGAGGGAGTGTTTACAACGAACTTTGCCGAGGTGTTAAATGTGAAACAGATGGCCCTCGCCTCGGGGCTGACTAACTCGCTCCCTGTGGGGTTCAGAAGATAGTCTCTAGCCGTCCAGTGAGCTAATAAGTCCTACATTAGACCTGAAACACGTAAGTTTTATATGGTTTAACACCCCACTATACTCAAATATATCAAATGTAGTTGTTAATAGTGAAGGAACGTACAAGTGATTTAATTATCTCATATGTAACGTATGTAATTTGTACTCTGCAGGTTTTGACCGAATAAAGAACAATCGAGTCCCACGTGCAAGGGTCTCATTATCCCACAGTCGCTCAACGGGCGGTTACAGTTGACCTCCACTAACACAGCACCAAGTGGTAAAAACACCCTACTGTTTGCTCACCAATTATCAACGAAACAGTTTGTGACAACATTAAATATTCTCGCAAAACAACAAATACACTGATATCTCTGTTAGCCCGAACAATGTGTGCAGAGCACTTCCGGGAATGAGAGATTTCTGGGTAACGAGACGACTCCCTCAAAGCCAGGAAAAAAATCCCTCTTCCCAGGAACTTTTCGGGTAGCGGAAATTTTTTTCGGAAGTTCCAGAAATTGCCCATTACATCATCTCTCGAACCCTGAAAAATATGCCCCATCCCCGGAATTTTCCGGGTACAGTAGGGTCGGGATATATAGCAACTTTATGTAACTATTTTTTAATATCGCGGCTTCCAAAATTATCGCCATTTTCCTATACTGTATATAGTGCTATGATAAACTACTTCTCAGGTTGTGTAGGGAAGACTATGGTCACAAGATGGTGCTGGCCATCAATCAGCTTAAGGTATAACTGGCCGGTCTTAGTACCATAGTATGTGGAGCCCTGTGATTGGTTCTGGTCGGGAGGTGGAAATTCTGGTGCTCCAGTCAGTTACGGAGTATAGGCTGTGAAGTCAAAATCTGGTCTCCTGTCTCCTAAACCATAAGTATCGAGTGTTAAGTTATTATATTTGATATGGTGATGTTTAGGATGTAGTATTATTTTTTATATGGTGATGTTTAGGATTTAATGTTCAAATATTATAGTGTGATGGTTAGGATTTAATGTTCATTTATTATTACTTGAGTTTTCAGATTTCTTTTGTTGTATTTATTATGTATAAAATTCTGTTACCAGCTTTAGTTACTTTTGTAAATAAATAGTAAGTTTGAACTTTTAAGGTAATTTTCCTTATTAATCAGGTTGAGGAGTTTGTTATGGGAGGGGCGGGTTAATAACTAACTTTGTATCGTAACATGTGGGAGCCTTGACCGCGAGCTGATGACAAATTATCACGAGTTTTATACAAAATAAGTTTAGAATTGTGAATAGCGAGTTTTGCTGAAGTTTAACTAATTGTTTTCTTTCACTGTGCTGTGGTATTGCATGTAAATTGTGTAATGATGGAATTTGAATTTGAAACATTTGTGATAATCCTAGTGTAGAGTACCTGAGACAGGTGCATTTGAGAAAAGAGGATTGGATTAAATTGGCTCGTGAGTATAGGGCCCAAATTAAACAACACTGGAGAAAGTCTGAAGTGAAAAATGCTGTTTTACGTCATCTTGTAAACACAGAGGTACTTGACGAGTTCGCTTTATCATTGTGTGAGCTAGAGGATGACTCTAAGAATCATGCTGTGAGGATAATGGAACTGGAGTTAGAGAGGGAAAAGTTGGAAGCTGAGATGGGAAAGTTGGAAGTAGAGAGGGAAAAGAGCTCATGAGTTGTTTATGAAAGAAAGGGAAGCGAAATTAGACAAGCAAAAATTTCAGCTTGAATTAGAAGAAAAGAAAGCCCAGCATAGAGCAAGAAGACATTCAAATAATTAAATTATGACCCCATTGTTTGATGTGTCTAAACAGTCAAGGTTAGTTCCTAGGTTTGATGAATATGATCCTGAAGAATTTTTCTTACAATTTGAAAAGACTGTCGAGTTGTTAGTGGCCTAACGAGTATTGGCATGTATTACTACAGTCAGTGTTGAGTGGAAAAGCTAGGTCAGCCTTTATAGCACTAGAGGTAGCACAAAGTAAAGACTATAAGATAGTGAAGGAAACTATACTTAAAGTTTACCGACCAACCTCTGAATTTTATAGACAGCAGTATAGAAATATGAGGAAACAAAATAATGAAAGCTATATTGAACTAGCATATAAGGTTAGGAAGTTTGGGCTGAGATGGTTGAAGGTTTAAGGCTGCCCAAGCTGTGTCTTATGAGATATTAGTACAATTAATATTACTGGAGCAGTTTAAGAGGGCAGTAACATTGGAATTTAGGGTATACTTGGAGGAGAGAGATGTAGTGTGTTTGACTCAGGCTGCTGCCTTATCTGAAAATTACTCTTTAACTCATCAAGGTTTTTTTTGTAGGTCCCAGGCTCATACTGTACCGAATAAAGGGGTGACTCAGTGTAAGAGTGGTAGGTCTGGTGGAGTCGGTGTGTCAGGCCCAGCTCCATGTGGCCCTGTGCAAAGGACTGGAAGTGGTGCCTCGTCCATGTCTAGGTCTTCTGGTGTCTCTGGTGAGGAAGGACTAGTGTGTTACTATTGTTGATAGGTTGGTCATATTAGACATCATTGTCCCAGGTTATCATTAAAGCAGGATAAAGTGAAGCAAAGTTTGATGACTTGTAGTCCTGTGGTTGGTAACCCCAGAATAGCAGTGAGAAAAGGTTAACAGATTTGTTTAAACCTTTTGTGTTTAAAGGATCAGTTGGTATTGGAGTTGACTGTGAGAGTACTCCTGTGTGTGTGTTGAGGGATACTGCATCTGCCTGTAGTTTGGTACCGAGGAGTAATGTTCCTTTTCTGAAGAAGGTTTAGACGGAGGAGAGTACTGTATTCTCTTGCAGGGAGTTAACCATGAACAGCCGATTCCCCTTTGTAGGTTATACCTGGAGACTGACTTTGTGAGCGAGTTTGTCACTGTAGGGGTGAAGGATACTCTGCCTGTGAAAGGAGTGTCGTTCCTGATGGGAAATGACATTGCTGGTAAGAAGGTTGTACCAGAACCTATTGTGACGGAGAAGCCTGTGTTTGTTAGAGACACTGGGGAATTAAAGAGAATTATGGGTTTGTTTCCTTCCTGCACTGTTACTTGGAGTCAAACGAGTATGCAGAGAGAGACTGATGATTTGGTTGAAGTTGAGGGTAATGATAGTTCCTCTACTTGCAGCCTGTTAGAAAATGGTGTGGACTTAAAAGGATTGTTCGAGATTAGCTCGAGTGTCGGTTTTGGGGAGTTGCATGAAGAGGTTGTGCTGCCTGGTGTCAAACTAGTCCAGATCTCGGAAAAGATCCTTTGGTGATGGAAAATGTACCAGTGGACAGGGATATGTTGGTTGAAGCTCAACAATATGACCAGTGGATGTGAAGGATTCACATCAAACCCCTATTTGTTACTATGTTGATGAGGGAGTTCTTATGCCTAAGTTCAGACCTGTTGATGTTTCTGGAGATGAAACATGGGAAAAAGTTCATCAAATTGTAGTTCCGTCTTGTTACCGGAAGGATATCTTGAGCTTAGCACATGATTTTGTTGGAGGGCATCTGGGGGTTAACAAGACTTATAAGAAAATTATACCTAACTTCTTTTGGCCTGGGTTAAGGAAGGATGTATCTGATTACTATAAAACTTGCCATGTGTGCCAGGTAGCTGGAATTCCTAACCAGATGATTCAGCTAGCACCCTAGAAACCCATTCCAATTATAGATGAGCCCTTCAGTAAAGTAATCATTGATGTAGTTGGCCCCTTGCCAAGAACGAAAAAAGGGAATCGCTTTTTGTTAACAGTTATATGCTCTGCTACGAGATATCCTGAGGTATTCCCATTGAGAAGAATTACTGCCCAAATTGTTACTGCTTTAACCAGGTTTTTCACCCAGTCTGGTGTGCCTCACGGTGTTCAATCTGATCAAGGGACGAATTTGACCTCTAAGGTGTTCAAACAAGTTATGCAGAAGTTTGGAATTAAGCAGTATCTTGCCACAGCTTACCACCCAGAGAGTTAAGGGGCCTTGGAGCGCTTCCATCAGACGTTCAAATCGATGTTTTCAAAGTATTGTATAGATCAAAGTAAGGACTGGGATGAGGGTGTGCATTTTTTTTGTATACTATCCATTCCTGTCCCCAGGGATCGTTAGGATTTAGTCCTTTCTGTTTAGTTTATGGACATACTGTTAGAGGACCCCTGGAGGTCCTGAAAGAAACATGGATAAGAAATAATGTAAAAATGCATTTTAATCAATATACTTCATTTTTAGTCCAAATAACATGCGGACTTTGAACATATAATCAACGACCTCACCAGGTCTTGTGGTATGGTCGGTAGCATTCCCTGGTCCCATGCATTAGGTCCATGGTTCGAGTCCTGGCTGATGAGGTCGTTGATTAAATCAATATGTAAAGGGATTTAAAGAACATCTGAGGAAAGCTTACAAGGTGGCCCAAGAAAACTTAGTAGAGACCCAAAGACAAATGAAGGACAGGTATGATATAAAAACTCAAAAATGGAGTTGTGAGCCTGGTGACTGTTCTTGTTTACCTGCCTCGGTATGCCAAGCCATTTCAAGAAAAGTTTCAGGGACCTTTTGTAATAGCTAGGAAAATTTATATTAATTATGTAATACATACTCCTAGTAGAAGAAAGAAACAAACAAAGGTTCACATTAATCTATTAAACTGTACCTTGATAGAGCTCAGCATAATGTTACTTTGAATGTGAACGCTAATGATAGTCCTAATGAAGACCAAGCGCTTCAAATTATAGAACCAAAATTGTGTAATAGTGATATCCTGAATAATCCTCTAATGAAGTTCTCCTACCTTTTGCAGTCAGAAGTGGAGGACTTGTGCAATCTGCTTAAAGAATTTCCTCAGATATTTGGAGAAGTGCCAAAGCCGTGCAAAGGAGTGGAGCATGATATTGAACTGGTGGATGGTGCTTGTCCGATAAAGCAGTCTCCTTATAGAATGAGTCCTCATCAGAAGGCGCTCATGAGGAAGGAGGTAGACTACTTACTACAGTATGGACTGAAGGAGCCAAGCGACAGTGAGTTTTCGTCCCCTATTTTGTTGGTGCCCAAGCCTGACTCCAGCAAAGGGCTGTGCACTGATTATCCCAAAGTCAATGTGATCACCTGGACGGACTCATATCCTCTACCCAGGATTGATGACATCATCGGAGATGCCAAGTACATCACCACCCTTGACTTGCTGAAGGGGTATTACCAGGTGCCACTGACTTGCAGGGCGAAGAAGTTATCTGCCTTTGTGACACCGGACGGTCTATATCAATATCGTGTGGCATCTTTTGGCCTGAAAAATGCACCTGCTACATTCCAGCGATAAATGAACACAAGTGGTAGCGGGGCTTCACAATGTGCGAGTCTACATCGATGATCTTGTCCTTTTTTTCAAACACTTGGGAGGAACATGTGAAGTGCCTGAGAGAGCTTTTCCAACAACTGGCATACTACCACCTAACTGTAAATTTAGCCAAGAGTGAATTTGGTCATGCCCAGGCAACATATTTAGAGCATGTGGTTGGCTATGGAAAAGTGTCGCCTGTGGCAGCCAAGGTGGAAGCTATAAAGGAGTTTTCTGTCTCTACCAACCGACAAGAAGTCATGAGGTTCCTGGGAATCGCTGGCTTCTACAGAAAATTTTGCCCTAACTTTGCTTGTGTCGCAGCACCCCTCACAGACTTAGTGAGTCCAAAGAAACCATTTAAATGGACTACAGTGTGTCGGTTGGCATTTAGGAGAATTTGCCATTTCCTGTCAACATCTCCAGTATTGAAAGTCTCCAGATTTCTACCAGCCATTCAGTCTTATGACTGATGGGAGTGATGTGGGGGTTGGAGCAGTGCTGATGCAATATGATATAGATAAAGTTTTGCATCCAGTGTGTTACTTTTCAAGAAAATTGAAAGGTTATCAAAGAAAGTATGCGACCATTGAAAAGGAAGCTTTGGCTATAATTTTAGCACTTGAAAAATTTAGAGTGTATGTTCATTCTCCTCCATTTCCACTAGTGATATGTAGTGATCAAAATCCATTACAGTTTCTGAATAGAATGAAGGGAAAGAACAATAGGTTATTGCGATGGTCTCTAGAGTTGCAGCCTCTTAATTTGGAAATAAGGCATATCATTCTTTCAAGAAGTACATTATGACATGTATAATTATATTGGTTATATGTGAATTGTTTGTTTTTTTCTTTTTAGGTGATTGGTAATATTTGATTTTATTAACTAACCTTTTAAAGCCTGGTGGCTTTCTTTTTTGGGGGGAGGAGTTATGGTGAACTACTTCCTCAGTTTGTTTAGGGATGACTATGGTCACAAGATGGCGCTGGCCATCAGTCAGTCTGGGTTATAACTGGCCGGTCTTAGTACCATAGTATGTGGAGCCCTGTGATTGGTCCTGGTCTGGAGGTGGAAAATCTGGTGTGCTCCAGAGTCAGTTACTGAGTATAGGCAGTGAAGTCGACATCTGGTCTCCTGTCTCCTAGAAGCATAAGTATCGAGTTTTAGTGTATTCTTACTGCTCCAGACCCCAGAGTTATTATATTTTATATGGTAATGTTTAGGATTTAGTGATAATGTTCATTTTTTATAACTTGTGAGTTTTCTGATTTCTTTTGTGTTATATGTGTATACAGTATTACCCCGCCTAACGCGGTTTCACTTAACACGTTTTATCATATACGCGGTGCCTCGCCAGAGCTGAACTTTCACTTAACACGGATTTTTTCCACATATACGCGGTGAGTGTCCGGCTCGAGATGCTATTTTTAGATTTGCCCCACCCTGCCTGACTGCCTGTTTTAGCTCATAAAATTCATACAAATTACCCGGCCAGAATATAATTTACATTGCTGGAATTCTTATAATTTGGTGATCATTTTGAATATAAACATCATATTTTTGCATTAGACATACAAATTTTAGATAAAAAATTTTCTCAAATTAACTATGTTATCTTTTGTGCAAAATATATGACATTTATATTCAAAATATTCCTGGTCTTACAAGGAATCCAGCAATGTCAATTATATTATCCTAACTTTAGTTTGAGGTATTATTTATTAAAATTTAGTGGTTATCCCACACATCTCCTTGGGACGGTTGGTGGGGGGTGGGGGGGAGGGAGGGACCGACCGACCATCTGTTACCCTGTGAAGAATTATTATTTTTTTTTATTAACTGAAGATATTTGTTTTAGCTCATAAAATTCATACAAATTACCCGGTCTGAATATAATTTACATTGCTGGAATTCTTATAATTTGATGATCATTTTGAATATAAACATCATATTTTTGCATTAGACATACAAATTTTAGATAAAAATTTTTCTCAAATTAACTATGTTATCTTTTGTGCAAAATATATGACATTTATATTCAAAATATTCCTGGTCTTACAAGGAATCCAGCAATGTCAATTATATTATCCTAACTTTAGTTTGAGGTATTATTTATTAAAATTTAGTGGTTATCCCACACATCTCCTTGGGACGGTTGGTGGGGGGTGGGGGGGAGGGAGGGACCGACCGACCATCTGTTACCCTGTGAAGAATTATTTTTTTTTTTATTAACTGAAGATATTTGTTTTAGCTCATAAAATTCATACAAATTACCCGGTCTGAATATAATTTACATTGCTGGAATTCTTATAATTTGATGATCATTTTGAATATAAACATCATATTTTTGCATTAGACATACAAATTTTAGATAAAAATTTTTCTCAAATTAACTATGTTATCTTTTGTGCAAAATATATGACATTTATATTCAAAATATTCCTGGTCTTACAAGGAATCCAGCAATGTCAATTATATTATCCTAACTTTAATCTGAGGTATTATTTAATACTAAATGTTAAAAACCCTGGAAGGGAGGATTGGTGGGGGGTGGGGGGGAGGGTTGGGACTGACCGCGCGGTTGGAAGAGGGGGGGAGGCAAGGTTGAGTCCATTATTTGAATGGACATTAACTTGGCGACTGTATTTCTCTTAAGTATTAATTGTGTGCATGTACCATCATAAAATTAAGATGTTATTTTTACTACAACATAGGTATGTGCCTTCAAAAAGTGGAGTTTGGGGGTCGGGCCGGTTTCTATTGGAATTAATCCCATATGTTCTGTTGTTCACTTAACGCGGATTTCACTTAACGCGGGACCCTCTGGGTTCAATTGACCGCGTTAAGTGGGGTACAACTGTATATATTTTGTATAAAGTTCTGCCATTAGCTTTGGTTTTACTTTTGTAAATAAATACTAAGTTTGAACTTTTAAGGTAATTTTCCTTATTGCTGTATTTTGCGGCGTAGAAGACGCACTTTTTATTACAAAAATGTGCCATGAAAATTACCATGTGTCTTCCATGATGCTAGTTGATGGGTTGTAGCGGAGGTTTTCTCATGATCAACTGAAATCAGCCCCTTACAAAGACTGTTACCTCATTACTTAGCAATTACAAGTATTCTCTATACTATAAAACAATTTATTTAACTAATATTGTTGATATACTGCAAAAAATACGATTATTTTCTTAGTAGGTAAGAAATAAAAAATAAACGGCTGCAGCTACACAACCCTTGCTGCTGTGCGGTTTGTTTACTAATGGCAGTGGTGCGGCAGCGCCATCTATTGAGGAATTGCAAAAGGTTGTCTGCTGGTCTCAAAGCGCAGGAATTTTTGTTTCTTCACACTTGAGTGAAGAACATAAACATTTTTTTTCTTTAGACGTTGATATACATGTTTACATTTGCTTACCTTCTACTGATGGAAAATATTTCTCGTCATTGTCATACCGACAAAATCAAGAGAAAGAATGTAAACACGACAGCCCGCTAGACGCGGAGGTGACCGGGTGTAGAAAATGAGTGCTGTGTTAAAGATTTCCACTTCTTATAGATTTTTTTATTAAAAATTGATGAAAATGACGACTGATAAGCAGTTCTAAGTGATGATATTCAAAGAGGTGCGTGTACCTTGTGCGAAAAGGGCTGTATATCAAGCAACAGTTTCACTGGTGTCGGTTAGTAAGTATAAACAGTTTTTTTCCTAGAATTACATTTCCGAAATCAGGGTGTGTCTTATACAATGCAGCGTCTACTACTCCGCAAAATACGGTAAACAGGTTGAAGAATTTGTTATGGGAGGGGCGGGTTAAAAATTCGCTTTGTATCATAACACTTATTTAACCTAACATAACCTGACCTAAATCCCTAGCAAGTAGGGCTTCGCGCCCCCCCCTTCGACCCCCCATGAGATGTTATATGTCGTCAGTATTTAACTTATTCTTATTTAACCTAACCTAACCTAACCCCCTAGCGTGGTTCCTTTGAACGTACATGCGGTATTACAGTACGTATAAATTATAAAAAAGAAACACTTCCCCAAAAGAGAACACTGTCACTAGCAATTAACAACAAAAATTATGGTGGAAAAGCAGTGTGTGTTCTTGCTAGAACCATTGGCAGCATTAATCTACATGTTAACTCTAAAACGGGTACTTTCCCCCGGAAATAAAGGTCAAATTCGATTAAATCACACCAAAATACACAGGATAAACTAATTTCTAAACTACTAGGGCATATTGGCCGAAACGGCAAATTTACCTATTTGTCTACCGTAATTTCTTAGGTAAAATTGTAGATTACAGCAACCAAAAAATCTGAAAGAAATTTGTTTTTCTGATGGTTTTGATGCGATTTGCTCAAATCTGACATTCATTTTTATCGGAAATCACTCGTTTTGGATTTAGTCTCCCCTCATAATAGTTCTAGCGATTGCGTGTTTTGAATTCCCGGTACTCTGTGCTTGCTAACTTATACAATAGAACCAAAATAAACCTTACCTAACCCCCTAGCCGGAGGCTCCGCCCCTGGACCCCCGGTGACACTAGCAGGGGGCTTCGCCCCCAGACCTCCAAACGCCATGTAATAACCCAGAGTCGCGTGGTCAGCCTCCACAAGAATATAAATTGCCGTTACAGTATTTCTTACCATACTCTGGGTCAGGGATCAGAATTCTTTTTGGGTTCCTCTGTTCTCTAAAGTTTCCTTATTTTTAGAATGAAATAATACAATAAACTTCCAATAATCGAAATCGGGTAAATTTTAACTTTTGGACATGAGTCCCAAGGGGTTGACCAATATGATTTTCCAGTGTCTTTTGGTATGTTTTAAACAAATCTCACCTTCATTTTTGGCGGAAATTGCTCGTTTTTTAGGGGTTTCGGGGTTTTTTGGTGGGGGAGAAAACGAATATGAATCATCCAACAAAACAAAACCTAACCTAACTTAACCTCTAGCTGGGGGCTCCACCCCCAGACTCCCGGTAGGACTACCTTAAACTAACTTAAATGTTTCAGTAGTTAAAAACTTTGGGGTGAGCCATGTCCGAAAGTACAATACCTTAGTTAGAAGTGGAAGGACCAAGGATATGTAAGAATTGGATAGAATGATCGTCTTTCTCGTAAAACTCGGCAATAAACTTAAAATAATCATAGGAGCACAAATGACAACCAACCTCCACCATGGCCATTGTTAGACTGGTCAATGAAACTACCCAGGCTGCTTCCTTTGAAAAAAATCAAGAGTGATTGGTCGAAAAAATTTTGCGTGATGATATCGATACATCATTGGTCATGACTGGATGACATCAGTCAATATTGTGTATGCCTGATGAGCTGATAACATCTTCTCACAGAAACGAAGACTGAAAATGACAAAATCAATTAAATTCAATTGTGTCGCTATTATCCATTGTATATACAGTATGGGGATCAAAATGCTCAGAATAGCGAGATCTAAGCGTTTCAGTAGTTTATAACTTTTGGGCGAGCTATGTCCTAAAAAGTAAAATAATACCCAAAATTGCACACCCAGTACATAATGGCTCCAAGTTGCAACTGATTCAAAATGTCCCAGAATATCGAACGCTAATTGGTTAAATCAAATGTTGCTATTTTTTATTGGATTTGATTGGCTGCCACCCACCCTCCGCACGTGCTCGACTCAATACCCTCCCTCTCGTACATGTGCGAGACGTAAGCGAACGTAAGAACACACACATTTTGAGAAACAGGGTAGGGGCAACCGGTGCTCTGATTTTATTGTTTTTAAAATTCAACAACTTCCTTATTAACAATTTGATACGGAAGTGTAATATTAGAAAATGACCATAGAAAAAATAGTTCTATCGATTGAGCGTAGTGAATTTCCGGAATTCTGTGGTTGTTGTTTACTGCAATATAGCCATTTCTGAGGCGTTCCTCACTTGTGCGATCTTTCTGAAATAAACGCATTTCCAAAAGGCTTCAACGGTTGAGGAAAGTTTATATGAGGTCTAAATTGCCTAAAAGTAGATTAGGTTAGGTTAGGATGCATATTTTAGTGCTGAAAATTTTTTTTTCTATTTTTTTTTTGTCATTACTCCCAAAAAATTTGATCTGCAACAGTTTTGAAGGTTAAATTCATTCAAAACAGCAAAATACATAGGAAAAATATATTATTGAGTCGCTAGAATACTATAGGGTTATTTATTTTTTTATCCACCCATCACCTTTTTTCACATTAAAATTAAATTTTTTTGCTACTTTTCTTGCGGTTTCAGATGATTCTGACATTTATCTTTGGGGGCCAATCACTTTTTCTTTTTAGTCAGGTTACCTGGTAGGTTAGATTGGCTGGTTGGTTTCTTTGGTATGAGAATATGTTAGGTTAGGTTGGTTGATTCCTTTGATATGAAAATAGGTTATATTTGGTGTATTACTCAAATTTGACCATTTTTTTTAACTAAATTTTTTTGCAAAAAATTTAAATTTTCAAAATTAAACAAACCGCTAATTTGCACAAAAAAGGAGCTTAGATTTGAGTAAAACACACCAAAAATAACCTATTATCATACCATAGGAACCAACCAACCTAACCTAACAAAAAAAATGATTTGCTCCATAAGATAAATGTCAGAATCATCTAAAACAGCAAGAAAACTAGTGACAAAATATATTTCATGTGAAAAAAGGTGATGGGTGGATAACGAAAAATAACCGACTATAGGAATAAAGTAACATTTACCTTAATTTTGTGCAAAAACAGCTAATTTGCACAAGAAATGAAAGTCAGACTTGAGTAAAATACCCCAAAAATATTTTCATACCAAAACCTGAGAACAGCCAATGGATGAATATTTACCCAGGTTAGCTCATTAATAAATATAATGCATAAACTAAAATTACCAAATTCCAAGACAATATTCCTTAAGCACTTTTTTTCTTGATCAAAAACACACTCGGTGTAATAAGAACAACAGCCACCACCGTCCAGTCGTCCACCACAGTGTTGTGGTTGACTCAGGAGGCCCGAGCTCACAGTAATACTGGTTGGCTTTACTGGCGACGATATGCAGCCAGTAAACACTATAAATCGATAAAAGATCATAACAAAATGTAAAAATTATCTAGTCATATAATAATCTACTGATAAATAGCATATAAATCTAAAATCACGTAGTAGAAAATCGTAATTTACATCTAAAGAAAGATAGTATGAGCTCGGGCCTCCTGAGTCAACCACAACACTGTGGTGGACGACTGGACGCTGGAGGCTGTTGTTCTTATTACACCGAGTGTGTTTTTGATCAAGAAAAAAAGTGCTTGTGGAATATTGTCTTGGAATTTGGTAATTGTAATTTATACATTGTATTTATACATTTTCAATGAGCTAACCTGAGTAAATATTCGTCCATTGGCTGTTCTCAGGTTTTGGTATGAAAATAGGGTTTCTTGGCGTTTTTCGGTGTTTTACTCAAACTGACCTTCATTCATTGTGCAAATTAGCTGTTTTTGCAAAAAAAAAATGAAGGTTAATGTTACTTAGGTAAATTTATAGTAATACACCTGTCTTTATCTTGCTGTTTTTAATGTGTATTTTGTAATGTTTAGACATTTCTAAGACATTTTTCCTCTATAAGAACATAAGGTAAATTTGGTCAATTTATAGTATCACACCGGTCTTTATTTCCATATTAAAAATTGCCTTTTCCTATGTATTTTGGTGAGTTTTGAACGAATTTAATATTCATTTCCACCGGAAATCACGTTTTTGTTTTTTTTAGCCCCCCCCCCAACAATCATCACAGAAAAAGTTTGATTTTTTTTAGAGTTGTGGTGTCTTCATTTCTTAAGGCTATTTATGTAGGAGAGATTGAGGCACAGTCTTCTAAATCCTATGTTTATTTCCTGCTCCATTTACAGTGAGTCTCCATGTAAATCCACCTCTACAGTGAGTCTACATATGAACAATCAGTATTTAAAGTAAATAAATACACTTTTTGCTGTAATAATATAAATTATTCCTTTATACACTTATTAGTACAGTAATATATAACACTATCCCTCCCTTTAAAACCAAAAATATCAGAAACTTAATCAAATGGAAACATATCCTAAAATATATAAACTAAACTATCATCTAATAAGGAATGTTAACAAAATAAAGCACAGCAATAGAGGAAACCACAGTAATTGTAGTAAGTTACAATACAGGTGCTCCCCGACTTACGGCGGGGTTTGGGACCCAAATCCAGGTCGTAAGTCGGAATGGTCTTAAGTCCGACATAGATAAAAAAAAAATTCAAAAATTTAAAAAAAAAATTCTACAATGAAATACAGTACAGTAAAAGTAATAAATAATGAGGAATGGATACAGTGTGACTGAGCACTTACCTTTATTGTAGTCAGCTGAATGCACACGGGGCCCCCATAATTTTCTATTTACAGGTATACATGGAGACTATATTAATTGGATGAAGCAGAGGAGGAGACAGGGCTGAGTGAGTCATCAATGTCGCTTTCTTCAGACAGGTTTATGTACTGTGGAAACTTGCTGGTTGAAGGTATTGGATCATCTTGAGGGAGTGAAGAGGCAGCACTGGTGGGGCGTGAGGAGACAGCAGTGGGGGACTTCTTAAAATAGATGTCCAATTTAGACTGCACAGTTTGCTTTTTCTTTTCATTATAAATTTCTCTATAGCAAGCAAGTGCATCTTGGATCATTCTGTCAACTTTGGCAAAATGCTCATAATTTTGATCCATGCCATCAAACATTTGCATTCCTTTATTAATTGTAGCAAATGCCTCTCATTTGCTTCACTGAAAACTTTTTGGGGGGTGCAGGTCCTTCTTCTACATTTAGACTGGCTTCTTCCTCTGCATCTTTGTGTGCTTCCAGTTCGATGAGATCTTTGTTACTGAGCTCTTCTGCTACACTTTCAGCCAACTGTTCAACATCATTATTAATTTCTAACTGAAGCTGTTCACCTAACTCCACTATCTTGTTACTAATATCCGAAATAACTTCATTTTCATTAAATCCTCTAAAACTGTTCACATATCTTTTTTAGGATTTTCTTCCATATTCCATTCATGCATTGTTTTGTAACCTGATCCCATGCTGCACTAATGTTCTTTATACATGACAAAACGTTGTACTCCTTCCAAAACTCTCTGAGCGTTTTCTCACCTTCAGTAGCAGCAGCAGCCTGAGCGAAGGTCGTACGTAAATAATACGCTTTAAAGGCAGCAAGAGCACCTTGATCCATGGGTTGGATGACAGAGGTAGTGTTAGGTGGAATGTACACTACCTTAACATCAGGGTGCATGTCGTCCAGGTGTGGTGGGTGTCCCGGAGTATTATCCAAAATCAGCAAAATCTTGAATGGAATCTGTTGTTGCAGACAATACTCCTTGGCTCGAGGAATGAAACAATTCATGAACCAATCCTCAAACAGTAATATGGTCATCCAGGCTTTCTTGTTACTGCAATAAAACACTGGCAGTGTGTGCTTGCTGACATGTTTAAAAGCCCTGGGGTTCTCTGAATGATAGATCATGAAGGGCTTTAGCTTGAAACCAGCAACATTCCCCCCAACAGAAGTGTAATTCTGTCCTTGAATGCCTTGAATCCTGGCATTGTTTTCTCCTCTTTGTGGATGTATGTCCGCTCAGGCATGCGCTTCCACAATAATCCAGTCTCATCCACATTGAATATTTGCTCAGGCAAATAATTGCCTTCCACAATCACATGATCTAACTCCTCCTTAAAAGCTTCGGCAGCACCAACATCAGCACTAGCTGCATCTCCACTCACCTTAACATTGTGTAGACTGTGGCGTTTTTTAAATCTATTAAACCACCCATGACTTGCTGTGAAGGTTTGCTCACATTCATCTCCTGCCTGCTACTTCAGGCTTTGGAACAGGCTTCTTGCTTTAGCCTATATTAGAAGGCTTAAGGGTACACGCTTCTGTGTTTGGTCTTCTATCCATATCACCAATAATTTTTCCATATCGTGAATTGGACCTTGTCTTTTCTTCAAAATTATAGTTCCCTTTACAGTGGTCCCTCGGTTAACGAGCACAATTCGTTCTAGAAGGTTGCTCGTTAACCGAAACCATTGTTTCAATGGGTTTTTGGGTACAGTGACCCCTCGTTTAACGAACGCCTCGGTTAACGAAATTTCGGTTAACGAACTGCCTTCCATAAGGATCTTCAATTCGGTTAACGAACAAAAATTCGGTTAACGAATTTCTTACGAACCGATCTCAACATGTTTTCGCTTGCACTGACGAGCAACCAGCTTTAGTATCAGTCTGCCAATACATTAATTGGTTCTAGGGCTTAAATTCCTTACTATTTTAGTAAATATCAAGAAGTTTATACTATTCAATAATTTTAAAAGTTTAACATTCAATTTTTTAGTCATTTTAACAATTATTGAACATAATTGAAGGTAAAGTGACTAGTTTAATGCGCGGCATCCAGCCTCTTAACACAGCAAACAGGTGTTAGTCTCTCTCTGTTTTCACTGGAGGTAACATCTTGCTTGAGACTCTCTTCAACTAAACGCTTTTTTTCTGTGTTTCCAAGCAAATTATTGGTCATTTTGAAATATATTTTACATATTGACAATATATAATGCAGTGCAGTGTGGATTTAAAGAAAATAATCTTGAATTACACCAAGAGAACTAAAATTTTATGGGTGAAATGGTGCCATGGGGTGACTTCTCTTCTTCCTTCTCCTCCACCCCCATTCTAATTCCCATCATCATCATCATCATCATCATCATCATCATCATCATCATCATCATCATCATCATCCAGGAGCCTTCTACATACACACCTCAAAGTAAGTGAACTTTTCTACCATTTTTGTTGAATTTAGGAACTTTTCGGTTAACGAACGACCTTCTGGAACGGATTGAGTTCGTTAAACGAGGGGTCACTGTAATTGGTTCCAGTTCACCGAAAATTGCCTAAAATCAACAAAAAAGGTTGTAAAGTACACTTGCTTTGAGGTGTGTATGTAGAAGGCTCCTGGATGATGATGATGGTGGGAATTAGAATGGGGGTGGCAGAGAAGGGAGAAGAGAAGGCATTAGGGGATGGAAGAGAAGTCACCCCATGGTGCCATTTCACCCATAAAATCTTAGTTCTCTTGGTGTAATTCAAGATTATTTTCTTTAAATCAACACTGCACTGCATTATATATTGTCAATATGTAAAATAAATGTCAAATTGACGAATAATTTGCTTGGAAACAGAAAAAAAGCGTTTAGTTGAAGAGAGTCTCGAGCAAGATGCTACCTCCACTGAAAATACTCAGAGACTGACGCCTATATGGTGTGTTGACTGGCTGTATGGCGTGCAAAAAACAAGCTTCCTATACTTCAATTATGTTCAATCATTTTTAAAATGACTAAAAAATTTAATATAAAACTTTTAAAATTATTGAATAGTATAAACTTCTTGATATTTACTAAAATAGTAAGGAATTTAAGCCCTAGAACCGATTACTGTATTGGCGGACTATTACTACAGCTGGTGGACCGCCAAATGCAAGCGAAAACATGTTCAGTTTGGCTCTTAAGAAACTCGTTAATCGAGGGATTGCTCGTTAACCGAAATTAAGAATCTTATGGAAGGTAACTCGGTAACCGAAATCTCGTTAACCGAGGGACCACTGTATAGGTGTTGTTCCTTTCACTACCTCATGAATACGTTCCTTGTCCTTCAGAATAGTGGATATGGTCGAGTGCGAGAAACCTAGGTCATGTGAGATTGTTGCTACAGTTTTACCATTCTCATACTGCATTATTATCTTCATTTTCATCTCAAAAGTAATTGCCTGTCTCCTTTTCTTCGTAGCACCACCAGCACTCTCACTTGTACGCTTTCCAGTCATTATAAAGTCAATTAAATACGATAATAACGTAAGTACACAGCGCGATCAGTATAGGATACGATAGCCAAACACCAACTAAGCGCTGTACTGAGTGAGTGTAACCACACGGTGACCCAAGCCAGCCACCCCCTCCCTCAGGACGGAAACGTTTCGGTATAGAAAATGCGCGCGTCATTTGAAAAAATTTTGGTCACGACTGCGGCAGACGGTCGTACGGTCAGAGCAGGTCGTAAGTGCGGATTGACGTAAGTTGGGTCAGTCCTAAGTCGGGGGCTACATATATATATATATATATATATATATATATATATATATATATATATATATATATATATATATATATATATATATATATATATATATATATATATATATATATATATATATATATATATATACTAAAACTCATAAATCACTACTGCAATGTGATACAGCTGATTCATTTTTATATCTTGTGCAAAATATAGGACGTTTATATTAAAATTATTTGCTGTCTTGCAAGGATTCCAGCAATGCAATTTATATTCTCGTAACTTTAATCTGTAGTATTATATAAAATAAAACTTGTAACCCTATAACCTCCAAACCCTGGCTGGGAAGATGGGGAGGGAGGGAGGGAGGGGAGGTGAGATGATATGTTTGACAGTTGATGCCAAGGTCTAGTGCTTATTTATTTATCTGTCCTTAAGAGTGACTTAAAGTTTTTCTCTTAGAAAATGTCACTGAACTGACCAGGGAGAGTATAATTAACATTGCTGGAATTCTTATAAGATATTGATTAGTTTGATTATAAACATTCTATAATTCGCAATAGACATACAAATTTTAGTTCTAATTAGTAATTCTATCACAAAGTGCTAAAAATTTTATTTATTGTGCAAAATATATGACGTTTTTACTATTCAAATTATTCGCTGTCTTGCCAGGATTCCAGCAATGTAATTTATATCCTGCTAACTTTAGTCTGTGACATTTTATAAGATCAAAACTTTAAGCCTAAAAACCAGGGTCACTCTTACCAGAAGCCAGAGGAGAGTTGATTTATTATGACAGCTGGGCTGGAGCCACACAACGGTTACCTAGTGGTATTTATTTGTGTCATATAGGGGGAGTTTATGTTTTTCTCTTATAAAATGTCAGTGAGTTGACTAAAGAGAATATAATTAACATTGTTGGAATTCTTGTAAGATGGTGATTAATTTGAATATAAACATGCTATAGTTTGCAATAAACAAAAATGTTAGTACAGTGGTCCGTCGGTTAACGAATGCCTTGGTTAACGAAATTTTGGTTAACGAATTACCTTCCATAAGAATCTTCAATTCGGTTAACGAAAACAAATTCGATTAACGAAATCTTTATGAAAATCATCTTTTGTTTTGAACATCAGCTGATAAGCTGAGGAGGTACTCAGCCAATTCAGTGGTCTCCTATGTTTACATTCAAACTAATCCCTATCTTATAAGAATTCCAGCAATGCAAATTAAACTCACCCCAGTCACTTCTATTAAATTTTATAAGCAAAAAACAAAAACTCCAATCTAAAAGAAAAAAATAAACTAACAATTAAATACTTCACACCACAGGCGCCAACTGTTAAACATGTCACCCCTCCCTCCCTACCCCCCCACCCCCTACCTTCCTGAGAAACGTTTGGGTAAAAAGACTAGGTTTACAGGTTTAAAAATAAATAATACCTCAGACTAAAGTTAGGATAATATAATTTGCATTGCTGAAATCCTTGCAAGACAGGGAATATGTTGAATATAAACTTCATATATTTTGCACAAAAGATAAAATTTTTGCTCTCCGTAATAAAATTCTTAAATTGGATCTAAAACTTGTATGACTAATGCAAATTTGAACTTGTTTCTATTCAAATTAATCACTATCTTATAAGAATTCCTGCAGTGTAAATTATATTCTGGCTGGGTAATTTCCATGAATTTTATGAGCTAAAAACAAATATCTTCTGTTAATAAACAAATTATACTTCATCAGACACTAGCTCTCAATCAAAACACCCCACCACCCGCTCCCCCCCTCTTCCCACGCTCACTGGCTCTCCTCCCTCCCTGAGAAATGTTTGGGTGAAAACACTAGGCTTTTAGGTTTAGTAATAAATAATACGTCAGACAATAGTTAGGATAATATAAAGGACATTAATGGATTCCTTGTAAGACAGGGAATAATTTGAATATAAACGTTGTATATTTTGCACAAAAGGTAAAATTTTTGCTCTCTCCTAAGAAAATTCTTAAATTAGGTCTAAAATTTGTATGTCTCATGCAAATTTTAGCTTGTTTATATTCAAATTTATCACTATCTTATAAGAATTCCAGCAATGTAAATTATATTCTGGCTTTACTTTGTATATATTTTTCTGTGAGCCGGAACCAATTACCCAATATCCAATTGAAACAATGGTTTCGGTTAACGAACGACCTTCTGGAACGATTTGTGTTCGTTAACCGAGGGACCACTGTATACTGTACTGTACAGTACTTAATTAGTACATATGGCTAAAAATTTTATCTCATGTGCAAAATATATGTCTATATTTAAATTACTGTATTCACTGTCTTGCAAGGATTCCAGCTATGTAATTTATATTCTGCTAACTTTAGACTGTGCCATTTTATATCAATTTAGTCACTTTTATTGACCTCCAGAACCTAGCCCTATTTTCCCCATTGATTACATGTAATTATATATCGCAATTTAGTATACAGTATTGCAAACATCCATGGACCCTCTCTCGCGATATATCCCGACCCTACTGTACCTGGAAAATTCCGGGGATGGTTGAGTTTTTTCCGGGTTTGAGAGATGAAAATCAGGCACATTTTCTGTAAATTACGAGAAAATTTTTCCGTTACCCAGAACATTCTGGGATGAGGGAGTTTTTCCCGGCTTAGAGAGAATCATCTTGTGACCCGGAAATCTCTCATTCCCGGAAGTGTTCTGCACACATTGTTCCGGCTAACAGAGATATCACTGTATTTGTTGTGTTGCGAGAATATTTAATGTTGTCACAAACTGTTTCGTAGATAATTGGTGAGCAAACAGTAGGGTGTTTTTACTACTTGGTGCTATGTTAGTAGAGGACAACTGTCAACCCAGCTTTGATTTTCATTCTGTTGATGTAAGAATCTGGCCTCAGATTGCTGAGAATTCCCATTACAATTTAGTTGGGAATGGACGTTTTTCATGTTATGTCGTAAATTAAGAAATAGCAAATCTCAAATACGTAAACTGAATTAAGAATTATAATGAATGTGGCAAATTGCTGTAAAATGAAGATATTCTGTACAATTCTTTTAATGAACAAAATGCTTTATTTCAGAAATGGCAATGAGTGGGAGTTCACCAGCCATGATGAGGGGCTCCTACACGGGCCAGATGGTTCCAACGTCACAGTCAGGTAAATTGTAACAAACATTTTGTGTGCAGTATTCACATTTATCCTAATCTGACTGTAATCGCTCTTAAGGCAATCATGCGATCACAGGATAAGGAGAATTAGCACGTGGATACGAAGAATATAATTTGGTCTAAACCTGTCAACAACAATTATTACACGTAAGTAAACATCATTTAAAATATTACCATAATACAACTAAAGTGGGATATTCAGCACATTCCTGAACAAAGTGAACTTGACACAATAATACAATGATGGGATCTCATGTACTATGCACTAATGTTCCATAAGCAGACTTGCGTGTTAGGGTCTTAAGGAGAGATAGGGGTGTTCCCTGTACGGCTCCAAAGCGTTTACTAACCCTCACAGCAGAGGGAACCACCGAAGCACCAGGTGCCGTCTTGTTCTTATTAACAGATCAGCAAATTCCAGCGTCTCCCTTCTGTAAACACATGCCACTTCCACTCACTACACACTCACTAACTCTCTCTCTCCACCTTCACTACTCAGTAACTGCCGAAGCTCAAATATCTCCTGGTTCTTCTCATGGGCAGTAACACTGACCATAAAAACTAGTGTAAAATTGAAGTGCATAGATGTATTTAGGGAAAATGATACATGGAAAAGTAGACCTATATAGTATTAGAATTAATTTCTCAGAATGAGTAGGTATTGGTGGTAGACCTGTAGAACAACAGCACATCATTTTCATAATTTCCTTGGAGCAGGTTAGGTACAATTATCTCTTTTAGCTGGAATCATTTGTCCCAGTAACTCTCCAATAGCTGTAATTGAAATTGGCCCGGAATTTTACTGGAAAATTTGTCTCAATTCTGGATATGTGAAACAGTTTCTGGGGTAGAAAATCAGCCGCAATTTCTGGAAAAATTCCAAAAATATCACTCTAAACCATTCTGTTCCAGGCCTAGTGACAAAGGTTCCAGGAGTTAGGAAAGAATACATCATGACCCTCCACATCTTAATGTGCAGGATGCGTGGGTGGGAAGACAGCTTGGGTAACTTGGGCCGTAGGCTCACGCGCTACGATTAGCTAATGATGTCATGTGACTGCATGGGATGACAAATAGGCTGATACATCTCCCAGCTTATCCCCTCCAAACCTACCATGACTCACTTAGTTCATAGTCCTCTGCCATTGCACAAGCCAAGAATACTGTGTTAAAGCAGTGTTAAGACGTAAAAAGTGATTACAGTTACGTATAAGTAATCTTCCCATTACCCGGGGTACAGCACAGTAAACTACCTCTAACTCAGACTCACTTAATCCAGATTCCCCTTGCAAACCAGACTGGGGTCCAGCACCGGACCAAAGGTGGTAGGAAGTAGGCAGCTATTGAACAGGGAAGTACAGACCGCCTGGGAAGATATTGGAAGCATAATGTGTTGTCTAATAGTAGACCCTGCTGCCATATGGCATCACAAAAATTATGACCAAGTCCCAGGTTGCTGATATGACATTCTGCCTCATTTACGCACACTTGCAGGGTCTCAATTGTTTCTCTTACTATAACAACACTCTTGATCTGTTTCATTTTTTCTATTCTTTTGTTCTCCTATGACAGTACTGTAGTTCCTAAACCCATGGTCGTGACCCAAATGAGGGTCACGGGGTTGTTCCTGAGGGTCATGGGCGGTCTATATAAAAAAGAAGGCAAAATTATGAAATATTACAATTGGGTCACGTCACTGGCACAATATGAAGAATTATTTAAATACTGTACTGACTAAAGTAGAATAGTTGTGGATAATAAAACAACCATATACTGTACACTTAACAGTAATGTTCGAGTCCGTTCACGTCCAATACTCGTGCGTCAAGGAAGAAATAGACAGGTATTTTTCCAGAAAACGTAGACCTCGAGAAACATAGCTGGATCAGGAATGTGTTCAGTGTAAACGTCAGAGAAGATATTCCAGGATTTCAAGAAGAACTTAGACCTCCAGGAAAATCAAGTGCAGAAGAAACGCTTTGAAAGCCTCCAGTATTCAAAATATTGGACCCAACTCAAGGATAAGCCCATCCTAACTTCTCCCCTTTCCAACAATATATCTCTGTGAACAAGGATTTCCAGGTCTTGTTACGATCAAGACTAAAGCAAGTAACCATGTGGATCCTCAGCATGACTTGCGTTGTGCTCTGTCTGTCAACATAATACAGTATGCCTGGATAATTTGTGGATTTTTATTTTGCAGTCGTCAATTATTCGCAGATGACACCCTGGATGTACCCAACAATGTCTGCAGGTAGTTTTAAAGTTGCCAGCATTTTCACGGCCAGGACAGGGAGACATTCGTTTTAGAGACTAATTTCCTTTACCTGTACAGTGATCCCTCGGTTAACGAAATTTCGGTTAACCAATTACCTTCCATAAGAATATTCAATTCGGTTAACGAATTCCTTACGAATTTTTCCCAACATGTTTACGCATGCTCACCAGCTGTAGTATTAGTCCGCCAATACAGTAATCGATTCTAGAGCTTAAATTCGTTACCATTTGAGTAAATATCAAGAAGGTTGTATTATTCAATAATTTTCCAAGTCTTATATTAAAGTTTTTAGTCATTTTAACAATTATTTAACATAATTGAAGTACAGGGAACTAGTTTTTAGCGTGCCAAACAGCCACTTGACTCACCCAAAATGGCATCAGTATGTGTCCCTGCTCTGTGGAGGAAGCTTCTTGCTTGAGACTCTCTTGAACATAAACTATTTTTACGTCTTTACCGTACAATTATTGGTCATTCTGTAGTTTATTTTACTTATTGACAATATATATGCAGTGCAGTGTTGATTTAAAGAAAATACAGTTAACCCTCACTTTACGCGGTCCCACATTCCGCGTTTCCACGTTTACGCGGTGCCCTGCCGGAACCCAGGATGCTCACATTCCGCGGTGCGTGTACCCCTTTACGCGGAGAGCGGCTGGCGAGCCGCGCCATTTTTGGATCCAAACCTCCCGCCATCCGCCATGTTGTGTAAGCTGCGCGAACATGGTGCGCACAAGGTCGCCCAGTCATCAAAACATTACCAGTTCTTCACCCACCACAGCCGGCCCAAGTCAGTGATAGTGATAATTATGGTGAGGATATGGACTTATATGGACTTTGGGGAGTTTGACAAAGAGGCCCTGCAAGCCTCTGTGGTGGATAGTGATACAATTGATACAAGTGACACAGGTGAGGGCCAATAATCTGCCCTCTGCCTCGGAACCAACCGCCCATCCCCGTGTGCCCAGCCATTTTTTCTACTAATGTAAGTGTTAAAAAACCTAATGTTATTGATATTTCTCTTAATTATTAATTGTGTGTGCATACCATCATAAGGTTAAGATAATATTTTTACTATAACATAGTTGTGTGTCGTCAAAAAGTGGAGTTTGGGGATCGGCCCGGACTCCATTTCAATTAATCCCATATGTTATGTTATTCACTTTACACGTTTTTCACTTTACGCGGGACCCTCCGGGTTACATTAACCGCGTAAAGTGAGGGTTAACTGTAATCTTGAATTACACCAAGTGAACTAAAATTTTATGGGTGACATGGCGGCATGAAGCATGGGGTGACTTCTCTTCCACCCCAATGCCTTCTCTTCTCCCTTCTCCTCCATCCCCATTCTAATTCCCATCATCATCAACCAGGAGCCTTCTACATGCACACCTCAAAGTAAGTGTACTTTACTGCATTTATTTTTAGTTTGTATGTAATTTTCGGTGAGCTGGAACCAATTACCCAAAATCCCATTGAAACAATGGTTTCGGTTAACAAACGACCTTCTGGAACGAATTGTGTTCGTTAACCGAGGGACCACTGTATTGTATATACTGTATATGTGTGTGTGTGTGTGTGTGTGTGTGTGTAGACACACGTACCAAACATATACAAATGAATAATAATGGGAAAATTCTCTCACAAATAATGAAACAAATTTATTTAAATTGTTGAGTCTATCCTCAAGTCTACTTCGTGTAAACAAATGTATTAAAAATGTGACAGTCTACCCTCAAGTTCACTCTGGGCCCTCGCCAATCCTCGCCACCACCTCCAGCTCCTGCACAGGTACACCAAGTTGGTTCTATGGAAACAATCACTCTCCGTCTGGATCGCCACTCCAAGCAAATCAACCTTCTCTCTGCCTAACTCAACTCGTTTGTGGAGACAATCGCGACATGATAATTATTTCTTTTATTTATTTTTTGGCACATTCTGCAAGAAAGAATGTGTGCATGCAACAGTAAAAAAAAAGAATAAAGTTACATGTATCTAGCCGAAATTGTTAGTTAAAAAATAATAACAGCTCACAGCTTTCTTTGGTAAGGTGAGGGCTAGGGGGATGTAGCTACAGTGACAGTCTAACTTGACAACATGTCAAGTCTACATATAGGTTCACTTCACACACATATACTGTATGCACCAATGCTCTTCTTTTTACTTATTTTATAGCATCATCGTGCCATCTCCGGATAATATTGTCTGTAATTTGCTCTGTGAATATTGAATATGGGTGTTAAAATATCAATTGCGAATAAGTGGGGTTGCGAATAGCAAAGTATTCCTGCACTTGGAAAAGTTTCTGAGAGATTAAACTCACATTGGTAGACACAATTGCAAATCCTTGAAATGTTTCTGGGTTCTAGGGAAAGTTTTTCGAGGGTCTAAACTATTCATCTCAAGTTTAAACTACGCATCTCATCCCGCCCTCAACACTCTCCCATAACAATTAGATTACAGGCATGAGCGAAAATATTTACAGCTAGCAAAAAAGTGTAGCTACAGTATAAACTTTTATATACAGCATCTGTTGTAATTGCGTTAGAGATGAATTTGGTACCATAATGATGCTGAATAAATTCTTTACAAGAGTGTCTAAATAAAAGATTCTTAAACAAAAAATTTGAATGATATACAGTAATATCTCCGTTGCCAGAATCCCTCAAACCCGGAACTCTCCGATAGCCAGAATTTAAATTTTCTCAGAAAATAACTCCCAAATCTGGAATTTTCCGGAAAATTCTGGCTTTGTGAACGATTTTCCAAGGGGCACATTTTCTGGAAAAAATTAAGAGAAAATTTTCTCAGTATCTGAAAAATTCCAGGATGGGGAGTTTTTTTCCAGGTTTGAGAGATGAAACTCAGGCACATTTTCCGTATATTTCGAGAAAATTTTCTGGTACCCGGAAAATTTCTGGGATGGAGGATGTTTTTCTAGGTTCGAGAAATGATATAGTGCTCAGTTTCTTGAACTAACGAGAAAATTTTTCCATAACCCGGAAATTCCAGGGATGAGGGATTTTTTTTTTTTTTTCCAGCTTTGAGAGATGAACTAATGCATCATTCTGAAACTTCCGATAACATATTTCCATTACCTGGAAAATTCCGGGGATGATTAATTTTTTCTGGCTTTCAGAGATGAATCGATGCATCATTCTGGAACTTCCAAGAATATTTTTCCGTTACCCGGAAAATTCCGGGATGAGGTTTTTTTTTTTTTATTATTTATTTATTTATTTATTTATTTTTTTGAGAGAGAGAGAGAGTTGTCTCGTCACCTGGAAATCTCTCATTCCCGAAAGTGCTCAGCATCAATTGTTCTGTCTAACGGAGATATCACCATACTGATGAGGACTCAATTCTATTTATGTAAGAAATGTTGATTCCAGATCTTAGAATCAGTTCATCATTTACAGATAACCAAGCTCGGATGGAGTGATTCATGTTCCGTTGTTTCTCCCTATTGGGGCTACTGTCATGAGCTGGGCATTGGAGAGGACCATAAAATGACAAAGTTATGCCATGTATGACAATTAACCCTTTTGCCATGGGTACAGCACTTTTAATATTTTATTTGTCTAACGTAAGACAATTTTATTTAGCATAGGGAGACCTCCGTGCAAAAGGGGTTAAAAACCAGAGGTGATAGTGCAAGTATGAGCCTCAGTGGTTCTAGTCTTTTGTGGTAACTGTTATATCCATCAAGTCTCTTTTTAAAACATGATTTTATGGGAAAGCGTAGACTAATTTTGGATTAGTTTCAGCCACATGTCTTTGTCCTCGAGAACTTGGGTTTTTAACCCTCTGTACTTGATTACTATACACAAGGCAACTGATACTATACAGGCTTGGGTAGATTTGGTTATAAAATGGAGTTTTAGTACAGTAGAGTATTTAGTTATTTCTCAAAATGGCCTCTTACTAAAAGATTATTCTGCATCTTTACGGGGTTATACAATATAACACACCAGGCCAAGAAATGTGATAACACTCATCACGGCTTCTCTCGCAGTGATTGTTGGGGATGGTTTCAGTTCCAAGGGTGCACAATATTTTTTAGTGGAGTGTACATACAGTACTGTATTAGCCATATAAGACCTGAACTGTCTGTCTCTGGTTTAGTGAAATCCAGGTACTGTACAGGAGTTTGATTAATGGCAGATATCAAGGAATACCCTGACCTGCATTCTATACGAGTGATGGGTACTACAGTATACACAATTTTTTAATTGATTTAATTTAAAATTTTTATTATTAATTTGTTTATTTACTTACATACTTATTCATTTATTTTTACAGGCAGCCAAGGTGTGCAGCAAGGTGGTGGGGAATCATCCCAGACACAACCCCACCCACAAAGGAATACAGCATTTTTGTGTAAGGCCAGCTGCGAAACTGTTCAAGAAATTGTCCTGAGAACTAGTGAGGTTTTTTCTCATCTAAAGAATATGCCAGTAAGTGTCCTACTTTTACTTTTCTACAACAATTATTTGATACAGTAGTGCATTGAATTACTGGACACCTGCACCTGAAACATTGTAAGACTGGATGGGAGATTCCCTGGTACAGTAGTTGTAATGGTGAGACTGCAGAAATGTGTCCAGGATGAACAAAACACAGGTTACCAAATATTGTTTATACAGTATTTATATATAGATAACCTTATATTTTTCCTGGTTCATTATCATCAATCGAAAATGGTGATTTTATGCACTATATTTATGAATTAAAAAGGTGTTGGAGGGGATATTAGTGACTGTACACATTGTAAAGATAGTATCTATCCACACTCTGCAAAACAATGACACCATGGACCAAGGAGTTTGACAACCCTATAGAGACAGCATGAGTCATATTGATCAAAATGAAATTCATTGGACCCATCTGGACAGATACATTTTTATTGTGCATACATAAGCTGCTCAATGGTGAGGTTATACATTTGTTATTTTGTAAAGTGCATAAACTGTTGAGTTACCTAATACTGAGTAGATTTGTATTAAAATAATGTCTTTTCTGATTGTTTGGTATTGAATAGAAATATTAATTTGAACTTAATAAATACAAATGACCTTTTCATTACTACAAACTTTTAGGGAGGACATTACCATATTCATGTACATATACCTGTACTGGTACAGTATGTTCATATTGAACAGATATTAACCCCTTCACTATGGGGATGCTACTTTTAATATTACAGTATTTGACTAACACCAGATTTTTTTTCTCAGCTTAGAGGAACCCGTACACAAAGGATTAAGGCTTCACTATGTATAGTAAACCCCTGCAGTACTTCTTCTGTATTCAGTGAGATTGTATTAATCATATACTGTACATTTAATTCATTAACCCTTATGCCCCGGGTGATGTAAGACCTGCTGGACCCCCCACATGGCCACATTTTGGCAAAAATAAAAATTAAAAATAATTTACAGTTAAAAACTGGTACTGTATTTCAGTCATAAAATTTCTGTGCAGTCACTCCAAGTGTACTCTTGTGGCTGGCGTGCAAGTGGTCCACTACGTCCACAACACTCATGACCATGACCTTGCTAAGGGGGCTGGTAGGGTAGGGAGGGGGGGGCGAGTGCCGTTGTCTGTATCACTGTTCTCACCGCTGGCCACCTTAACAAACCCTACATCATCTGGGTCTGTTTCCTCCCCATCACTGTCAGTGTCACTCAATACTATATCGATGCCACTCAACTCTTGAGGGTCTGGAGGAGTGAGGCAGGTCACGAGACGTCGAAGGATGTGCATCCATCATGGTAGCTGGTGGGTACGGGACCACTAGACTTGAGACAAAGATTATGTGCGAGTTGAATTGCCAAGTAAATAAATATCATAAGCAAAGTACTTTGTCCTCTCTAGGTATTCAAACTATGCTGCAAAGATTAAGGACATAGAGGAACATCACCCGGGGTCACTATAGTGGACGTAGAGATATGCCACCTTGGCTTTAGGGGTTAATTCCATGGAGTGGCATAAATGTCTAAGTTTGGAAGCAGTGAAGGAGTTCATTTTGCTCAGATACTGTACAGTACAGTATATACTTATCTTTAACCTACAAAATATGAACTGGCAAGGTACTAGTGAACATAATTCTATGGTAATGTACATGGTGTCCATGGTCAAGCAAACAACACTTTCTTCTTTATTGTTATAACAGACTGGAACAAGTTACCAGACTACATCAAAACGTTATGGTATTAAACAATTCAAAGCTAAAACAAAGAACAAGGGTGGATCCAGGGGGAGTCCTGGAGATCCTGACACCCCCCTTCCCCCTTTTTCATCAGAAAATTTCAATACCTTTTCTTTAATACAGCATTGTGCTCAGGCATTTTTGTATTGTAAAAAGTAATTACTATTGACCTCAGAATATCTCCTAATATCAAGTGCACGTGGCTTCCAGGGGCCTCAAAATGCTCGCCATGTTCCACTACCCAAAACTTCCTGGACCCCCCTTTAGATATTCCTGGATCTGCCCCTGAAGAAATACATAATACAGTAGATGAAGCTACAGCAAGATAAGAGAATGATTTTTTTATATTATTAAACCACATACTGTAAAACTGCGGTAGTGATCTGCCTGCCTCGGATAGTCCAAGCGCAATGTAAACCTTGTTAAATTCTATCAAATAAACTCATTAATACTCGTGTAGATATACTATTACTGATTAGAGACCAAGCATGAGCCTAAGCAAAGGGACCTCCTGGAAATAAGCTCCAGAGAGCATTGTCATCTATCCTTGGTCAAGTTGCCTTACTGCTTACCTGCACTGTCTCAGCACACAGGAAACTTTATACAGTACTGTACTCCCCTAGCCTACATGTACTCTATACCTACAGTATATTATCTATATTCTTGTTGAACTGTATACCTGCATAGTTTATAAACATGCTTATTCAATTGTAAACCTGTATGGCAATTTTATTGAATAAATATTAATACATATTATTATTATTATTAAATAAGCTTAATGTTTAATAGGAAAATATCTAGTCATCTGTGCAGTTAAAGTTAAGTTGAAGGCATGGAATAGAGAAGTGTGTGGGTGGTAGATGTTATGTTATGATGAGAGATAATGTACTCTACTCCATAGCAAATTATAAAAGTTTGTGCTTGAGAGGCACAATATGGTCAATATGGTCTTAATAAGAAAGGGTAATACTTATTTCATATGAATTATTAGTTTTCTTATCATGATTGTGATTTTGAATATGCATATTGTATTTTGAATTGCAGCTTCCAAATGGTTCTAATCAAGGCACACAGTTAAGTACTGAAAAAAAAATGCGGATCCAAGAAAATCTCAATGCCATTCAGCGTCACTTCAAACCCCTCAGAGCCGTTTACATCCGTGTTAATGATGACTGTGCAGGGATGGAATATACTCATATAGAGGTCAGTTCATAAATTACTGTACCATTTATAAAGTAACTTTAGACAGTGCCTGAATGTTAATGACAAATATTTTCCTCATTGATAATTGATATTGAGATATAATCCTTGCTGACAATATTGTACTTACCACAGTTTTCACATATGGTGGAAGTCTTCAATTTGAAATTACAAACTGTATTCATGTGTATATTTCGCTGTTTCTTTTTTTAACTTGTTAATATTGTGTAGCTGTATAGTCAGTTATATTATACATTTTACATGTTTAGGTTATAAATAGGTACTGTACTCTTGTTGTGGTGGATCTCGGTGGGTGTGAAACCTTAGGGTTGATATATCAGTGGGGGAGTTTATGATAAGAGCATAGTGATTCATCATTCAGCTGAGCCATTAGCAACAACCTCATAGAGCCAGTTGGTGGTTTTTCAGCTTAGGGTTGCACAGGTAATGAAGGACCTTTAATTTTTTTCATTTATTTCCTACTATAAGTTTGACATTAGATTGGTTGTATAAATAAGATTATAAGTTTTGGCACTGCCAGTGGAGCCTTCATGTCCTTTCACCTCCCATTTTACGGTAGATGACTGCTGTATAGTGAGTTCACTGACCCCGATGTAGGTAGTAAATGGAAGGTTGATCTTGAATTTCACCTTTTTGGGTGCTCAGGTGAGCTGGATCTGGACTGGTTTGGTTGGGATTGAGTGCTTGTATCCAACATCAGCAAATGGATAGATCAGTGTTTCATGTTATGTTCACAACAAAATTACAGTGAACCCTGGGAGATCCGGACTAAATGGGGAGACTACTTGTCCGATAAAGCCGATTGTCAAAATCTTCTGACAAATATACTAAATGTATAAAACGATAAATAATGATATAAAAATACCAAAAATACAGTACAGTATTTTATGGCATATACGACGCAACCCCCATTTTAGCAGGGAGTATTTAGGGAAAAAAAATTATTTTCCTTCTGTAGCCAGGAAATGTGAGGAATAATTAAAAATAATACCAATAAATAAGTTACAACAAAAAATAATGTATTGCTAAATCAGTAAATAAAAGACAAATGAAAGTTTAACACAGTCGTCATTTGCATACAATCCCTGCTTCACCAAAGTAACGAAGACCAGCTGGGACGCCGATTCCCAAGCAATGCTCCCCACCCCCCACGCTCTCCTCCCATTACGTGTTTGCCCTTAGGACAATTAATTCTTTTACCTTTTTCACAATATGTTTGTGGGATGGTGTGTGCATGTAATTAAGTGAAAATAAATGAAAAAAGTTACGTACAGTAGAAGTCCAAAAATCCGGACTGCTTGGGGATTGGGTCGGTCCGGATTTTCGGATTTTCCGGATTCTCAGGCAGTACTTTTAAAATTCAAATTTAAGGAGGAATAAAGAAGAGATGAACTGGAACATTTTGATAGTTTATTCATTAGCAATTATAGCATGCTTCATTTATCAAAACGAGCAGTTTTAATGAAAAAGCTGTGAATTCTAGAATTTTTTTCTTTGCCTTTTTTATATCATAAATTGTAGACTTTCCAATGTCGTATGTTTCCATTAGAACAGTATTGCTCACACCACGTACTAGTTTCTTAATTATTTCAAGTTTGTCACTCAATTTCAACGTGTTCTTCTTTCTCTTCACACAACGAAGTTTATCTACTTTAGTAGCCATTATTATGGGCTTGTACAGTAATCTGTAAATGGAAAGAGTAGGACTCAAAATATTGTTATATTACAATACAATGGTATTCTATTCATACTGTGCTTGATATAATGCATTCACGGAAATGTAATATTTTTGCTAAAATGACGTACGTATTACAGCGGAAAGTGGGATCAAATCGTGACGAAAACAATGACTTTCGCTTTCTTTCGTTCAAAAGATGTTACCGTAATCGCTTTTCGAATGGTTTAGTTAAAAAACTGTTGTACTGTATTACAATAATATTCTATCCTAAATGACTTGAATAAATACTACGATACTATATTTCTGAATATTTTCATTAAAATCCATCAAAATCATTTTCTTTGTCATCGTCTGCAGCACCAAACTGCTTCTCCCAGTCTCTCCTTGAACAGGGCTAGAGGGTACGTGTTTTTCGAATCGTTTTCAGTTAAAAAACTATTACATCACACGTATATTTCACCTAAACTGCGCCTGAATGAATATATTCTCGGAAATAAATAGTAGTTTTGCTGAAACGTGATGTATTTCAATGTAAAATAGGATAAAATACATGACGAAAACAAAAGACTTTACCTAAGCTTCCGATGTTCTTGAGATGTTACTCGTTTTTTTAATAGTTTTCGGTTAAAATTCTGTTATATTACAATGATATTCTATTCATACTGTGCTTGATATAATACATTCACGGAAATGTAATATTTTTGCTGAAATTACGTACGTATTAAAGTGGAAAGTGGGATAAAATCGTAACGAAAACAATGACTTTCGCTTTCTTTCGTTCAAAAGATGTTACCGTAATCGCTTTTCGAATGGTTTAGTTAAAAAACTGTTGTATTACAATAATATTCCCTCCTAATTGACTTGAATGGAAATATACAATATTTTTGTTGAAACTACCCGCGTTTCAGTGTAAAGTGTCGTAATAATAAATGGTAAACAATTTGCCTTTGGCACTCGTGTTTCAGTTTATAGGACGTAGAGCGTTATTACTGAAGGTTTTGTTGTTCCCTTACCCCCAAAAACGTGGGTCAAATTATAAACGAGGAATATCATAAATTAACGATTTCTTGGTCAAAAAATCAGGGTCGACCGATAGACGAGGGGGGGTTATAGATGAGTATATACGGTATGTTGTCACAGTTTGATTGCTCGTTTTAAAGTGGCGACCACGTGGTCGCTTGTTGTCACTGTGCAGCTGTGGCGCTCACGCATGCGCACATACACACAAAAGCCCGCTAAAAAAAAAAAAAATAATAATAATAATAATTAGTTTTCCAAAAGTCCGGATTCTCGGGTGGTCCGGATTTCTGGCATCCGGATTTTTGGACTTTTACTGTATATCTACCCGAAAATACGAGTTGAAAAACTACCATAACACCACATAACTTGGCCCAGTAGCCTGGTGGTTACAGTGACGAGTTTAACCTGACTACAAGTGCCATGATTAATCACTATTATATCCGTAAACACTAATAATAACAGTAAATCCATTTAAATATGGCAGGGGGTGAGGAGAGTTACAAGAGCCGACAACACTTTAACTAGTGGTCACTTACTTGTTCCCATTGCCAGGCATAGTGTCAAAATACATACTGTATGGGAGAAATACACACATACAAAGAACAATTGACAACTCTGTTTATGTTTCCCTCCTCGGGCACCTGCGTCCAGCGCGCTGACATTTCAGTTACACGAGCCTAAGATGATCTTTGCTCTGTTTTGGGAATGCTTCTTAGGGAGGCTTCTTAGCCCGCAGAACCCCAAAATTCTGTCCGAATCTTCCAAAATCCGGATTTACTGGGTCCGAATCTTTGAGGGTTCACTGTATCAAGTTTTCTCCCATTTTAGATTATCTTCTTACTGTATGGATATGCCTTGCAATCTTTGTGTGAAGGTGAAGAATAATCTAATTATTGAATTTATTTGGTTTATAAATCTCAGTCACACATTGGGGTTAAAATCCTTTGACTTGTTCTTATTGAGCTGTTCAGTACTGTACTCTCAAGGTTATAAAAAAATAACTTAGGGATGAGTCCTCCATTATGAGGTTTATAAATGCATACACTAAGCCAGTCCTCCATTATGAGGTTTATAAATGTGTACACTAAGCCAGTTCTCCATTATGAGGTTTATAAATGTGTACACTAAGCCAGTCCTCCATTATGAGGTTTATAAATGTGTACACTAAGCCAGTCCTCCATTATGAGGTTTATAAATGTGTACACTAAGCCAGTCCTCCATTTTGAGGTTTATAAATGTGTACACTAAGCCAGTCCTCCATTATGAGGTTTATAAATGTGTACACTAAGCCAGTTCTCCATTATGAGGTTTATAAATGTGTACACTAAGCCAGTCCTCCATTATGAAGTTTATAAATGTGTACACTAAGCCAGTCCTCCATTTTGAGGTTTATAAATGTGTACACTAAGCCAGTTCTCCATTATGAGGTTTATAAATGTGTACGCTAAGCCAGTTCTCCATTATGAGGTTTATAAATGTGTACACTAAGCCAGTTCTCCATTATGAGGTTTATAAATGTGTACACTAAGCCAGTCCTCCATTATGAGGTTTATAAATGTGTACACTAAGCCACTCCTCCATTTTGAGGTTTATAAATGTGTACACTAAGCCAGTTCTCCATTATGAGGTTTATAAATGTGTACACTAAGCCAGTGCCTCCATTTTGAGGTTTATAAATGTGTACACTAAGCCAGTTCTCCATTATGAGGTTTATAAATGTGTACACTAAGCCAGTCCTCCATTTTGAGGTTTATAAATGTGTACCAGTCCTCCATTATGAGGTTTACACTAAGCCAGTTCTCCATTATGAGGTTTATAAATGTGTACACTAAGCCAGTTCTCCATTATGAGGTTTATAAATGTGTACACTAAGCCAGTCCTCCATTTTGAGGTTTATAAATGTGTACACTAAGCCAGTCCTCCATTATGAGGTTTATAAATGTGTACACTAAGCCAGTCCTCCATTTTGAGGTTTATAAATGTGTACACTAAGCCAGTCCTCCATTATGAGGTTTATAAATGTGTACACTAAGCCAGTCCTCCATTTTGAGGTTTATAAATGTGTACACTAAGCCAGTTCTCCATTTTGAGGTTTATAAATGTGTACACTAAACCAGTCCTCCATTATGAGGTTTATAAATGTGTACACTAAGCCAGTTCTCCATTTTGAGGTTTATAAATGTGTATACTAAGCCATAAGTTTTAAGGTAGTTGGTGATTTGCCAAAACAAATTTAAGCTGATTTTAACTTCCTTTTTGGTGCAAAGAAAATAAAGTAGATTATTGGATAGGTTGTATTGTAACTTTGGTTTATTGGCTCTGTCTGCATAAATTATTTTGTATTGAGATATAATTTATATATGTATATTACATGCTTCAAACCATTTACTTATTAAATTAAAAGGATAATATAATATTGTATGTATATTCATGTTTTGCTGCATCATTTTACAAATCCAAGCTGTTGTTAATTGTTGTGCAACTTAGCAACTCTGTCATCACAGAGCTTAATTCCTTACAAGGACGAGGCAGACAACAGGGCAGACTACAAGAAAATTGGTGAAAACTATCGTCATCTTGTGGAGGAATCTAGGGAACTCAAGGAGGTGGGTTGCTTCTGTGTCACATTCGTGCCCTTTTATGTTACTCTTATGAAAACTAAACATGACAGGTATTGATAAGCAGGTATTGATCTTTCTGGTTGAGAGATAAACCCTTTTTATAGTTCCATATCAGTCCAGGAATACTGTACTCTCATGTAATACCAGATCAGATCCAAGGCAGGCATATAACAAAAACAATGACTGTGTTGTACTAATTCTGAATAAAGAAGGAAGACTGGTAGTTGTAGGTTCAGGTACAGTTTGTTTATTTATATACTGTATATGCTGGCATATAAGTCAACCTTCAAAGCTCAAAAAATATCTTCAAAACTAGGACTTGTCTTATCTGCTGAGTATAAAATGTGAACCTTAAAATCCAGGTAAATTTTGAATTGAAAGACTTCAGAGTTGATGAAAACAAATAGTCTTTGGTATAAGTGCTAAATGGTCACTATTTTGAATTTTATGTTTTGTTATTTACATTCTATTGGTAATTTTTTCTTTTATATATATAAATGGTGCCTGGAGATTTTGAAAGGGTCACTGTAGAAGAGTCATGTTGAATAAGAAACCTGATTGTTGGGGGGGGGGGTGAAGAAGGTTGGGAGGATCCTCACTGCTCCCTCAGATTAGTTCTAAGGTGGGAAAGAGTTCCTTGGGCCCAGACCTAAGTAGGTAAGGTTCCTGGTAAATATTGTGACTTGGGTCACTTCATATCAGCTTGCATCTCTATGCTGCATCCCATGTTCTTATATTGCTTTTTTTTTATCATATTTATTATAAGATGAGCCCTGAGTCAATGGATGCTCAGTGTTTGGGGGAGTCCACTTACAGAGCAAGTATATATACAGTATACCCCCTGTATACTGTAGTCACAAACAAAATTTTGGGCTGAAAAGGTTGAGGTAACTTGTGCACTGGGTCGACTTGTATGCTGGGTTATACGGTATTTATTTATTTGCAGCATCAGAATTAAAAATAAATTTGTACAGTACTACCACCAAAAGGTTTTGGAAGTACTCTTACATTCTTGAAAATTATTTGTAAACCTGGTTTTTGGTTTCTTTACAGCAACTATACCTAAAAGCCCGATACATGAAGGAGATTATAGACCAGTTGCGCACGATCATCTGGGAAGTGAACACCATGTTGGCGATGAGCAACACCTAGTGTATTTCTTCCTAGTAACTTTGAAGTTTTAACAGAATGTTAATTTAGGTTCTATAATCACTATAGTGATTAAAAAATATTAAATTTTCAAGTGACCCATTGGTCCAGTTTCTTGAAAACCTGCATTATACAATATTACATCCAATGTTTAGTATATTACAGTTCTGTATTTTATAAATCATGTCTCCATCTTGAATATTTTATGAGTTGTATTATTAAACCTGTGTTCTTTGTATTTCACATAGCACTGACAACTTTAATTTATATGACTGGGAGGGTAAACTTTGGGTGAGGTCAGATCAAATGTGCATTGGCTATGTGACCTTAATCTGACCTTACATGCCCTGAGACCCCAATGATGTTTTTGAAACTTTGTGTCACCATATTTTTATGCAGTCTACAAGTCTACTGATACAGTAATACCTCCGTTAGCCGGAATCCCTCAAACCCAGAACTCTTCGATAGCCGGAATTGAAATTTGCTCTGAAAGTTATTCACAAAGCCAGAATTTAAAAAAAAATTCGGCTTTGGGAACAAATTTTTTGAGGTTGAAAATCAAGAGCATTTTCTGAAAATGTCTTGAATAGAGATGAAAGCTGAGGTGGAGGTAGGGTGGGGGATTAGTGGTCTCATATGACTGACTTTCTGATGGAATGTCAGGTCACCATTTCTTGGGTAGGGGGTTAGTGGGTCTCATGACCTGAAGTTGTCTTGAATAAACACAAAACCTGAAGTATTTTAGAGAGATTGTGGTAAGTATAAGTATAAATGAGCAAAGTTGTATCCCTTCAACATTACATTACTGTACATTACATAACATTAATTAAAAGAAATATACAGTATTTTTTACATTAATGTCACTACTGTACATCTACAACCATCATTAGTCAAGGCTTTAATGTACACAAAATCAATACAATGAGGTCTAATACCCACTCATTTCATCCCAAATACTATTGGGTAATTGCTTCGGAAAAATCCTTAAATGGCAACTATAAGCTGACGGGAATTAGTCCTGCCCATACGGTAGGAGATACCAACTGCACCACCCCCCACCCCACCAACAGATCACTACTGTACACATACGTGTATAGTTCATGAAACACAAGTCAACTTGTGGCATAATAGACGACTCATTAATGAGTAATACAGTATAAAATCGAGAGATTTTCAGGGAATTTTTTTAATATACAGTGGTCCCTCGGTTAACGAAATTTCTGTTAACGAATTACCTTCCATAAGATTCTTCTCTTCGGTTAACTAAAAAATTTCGGTTAACGAATTCCTTAGGAATTTTCCCCAACATGTTTTCACTTGCATTTGGCTGCTCACTAGCTGTAGTATTAGTCCGCCAATACAGTAATCGGTTCTAGGGCTTAAATTCGTTACCATTTTAGTAAATATCAAGAAGGTTGTACTATTCAATAATTTTAAAAGTTTTATATAAAATTTTTTAGTCATTTTAACAATTATTGAACATAATTGAAGTACAGGAAACTAGGTTTTGCGCGCCAAACAGCCACTCAACACACCAAGCTTGGCGTCAGTTTGTTTATCGGTTCAGTGGAAGGAACAAATTGTTTTAGACTCTTCAACACAATGCTTTTTTTCTGTTTTTCCAGTCAAATTATTGGTCATTTTAAAATATATTTTACATATTGATAATATATATCGCAGTGCAGTGTTTATTTCAAGAAAATATTCTTTATTTACAGCAATAAAACTTAAAATTTCAGTGTTGAAATCGAATTCAGCATGGCTCCAGAGAAATCAAGAAAAGTTATTTCAATCCAGGTAAAGCAGGAAATCATAAAGAAACATGAACAGGGCATTAGAACAAATGTGCTTAGTAAAGACTATGGCATGTCGGCATCAACTGTGTCGACAATTCTTGCACAGAAAGACAAGTTCAAAGAAGTGAAAGTGAGAGATAAATCTACCAGACTGTTTAAAGGTAGATCATTGATATCAGAAACAGAGAGGTTACTTCTCATTTGCATCAGGGAAAAGCAAATGAAAGGTGATTCAGTTTCTACAGAATTTATTTGTGATTTTTGGGCAAGCAAGGGCTGGTTTGAAAAATTGAAGAAAAGAAGTGAAATTTTCAGTGTTATTAGGCATGGTGAGACTGCAAGTGCAGATAAAGAAGGAGCAGCAAAGTTTGCAGTGGACTTTAACAAACTGGTGGATGAAGAAAATTATCTTCCACAGCAAGTGTTCAATGTGGATGAAACTGAGCTGTTTTGGAAGAAAATGCCCAAAAGAACATTCATCACCAGAGATGAAGCCTCTTTACCTGGGCGTAAACCCATGAAAGACCGTCTCACTCTATTGCTTGGTGCCAATGCTTCAGGGGATTTCCGACTGAAGCCTATGCTTGTCTACCACTCTGAAAACCCCAGGGTGTTCAAGCAACAGAAAGTGGTAAGAGCAAAGCTTAGAGTATATTGGAAGTCCAACCGTAAGGCATGGGTGACAAGACAGCTCTTTAATGAACGGGCTGTTGATGTGTTTTGCCCTTCTGTCAAGAGCTACCTAACCACCAATAAGCTCCCTTTAAAGGCTCTTCTCCTCATGGCTAATGCTCCTGGTCATGACCCTGAACTTGCCAGAACTTTGGAGTATCAATTTGACTTTGTGAAAGTGTTGTTTTTGCCTCCAAACACTACATCAATCATGCAGCCAATGGACCAGAATGTGATCAGCAACTTCAAGAAGTTGTACATGAAGAAAATGTTCAGGAGATGTTATCAGGCAACTTCCACTGATCCTGAACTAACACTGGCACAGTTCTGGAAGACACGATTTAACATCCTGGAGGCTGTAAATTTGATTGTGTCATCATGGCAAGAAGTCTCCATTAGATCCCTCAATTCTGCATGGAAAGCACTGTGGCCATCAGCAGTTCATGATTTTGAGGGATTTGAAGAAGAAGCAGAGTTGGACTAGGAGATTGTGTCCATTGGTCAGTCATTGGGCCTCGAAGTGGAAGAGCTTGTGATGTCTCATGAGCAGGAGCTTACTCCTGATGACTTGCAGCAACTGGATGAGATGTTGGAGGCTGACAGTGGTGAGGAGGAAAGGGAAAGTGATGACCATATGTCTACTTCAGTTTTGAAAGATGTTGTTCACTACTGGGATAAGTTCAGGAAACTGGCTTCAAGGCACCCAGATGTGGAAACAACAGAACCTATTTTGTGTAATGTTGAAGACAGAGTGGTCTCCTTCAAACATCAGTTAATGATGAGGAGAAATGCCCCACAACCCAAAATTGACAGTTTCTTTACTAAAAGGCATCGGGAAACAGATGCTACCCCTCAGCCTTCCACTTCAAGAATGAGAGAGGATGTTCCTGCTGGAGAATCTGTCAGTCCAGAGGTTCCTGAAAATTTTCATGGAAGGTGTCTCACCTTCCAAGAAGCAGTAAAATGCTTCTCCTCCAACCCCACTTCCTTCTCCTCCACCTCCCACTTCAAATTCACATCAGCATCATCATCCAGGAGCCTTCTACATACACACCTCAAAGTAAGTGTACTTTACTGCATTTTTTTTTTTACTTTAGGTAATTTTCAATGAGGTGGAACCAGTTAACCGAAAACCCATTGAAACAATGGTTTCAGTTAACGAACAATCTTCTGGAACGAATTGTGTTCGTTAACCAAGGGACCACTGTATGTACGTATACAGTATTTATGAAAAGAATAAAAATAAAAATAATGATGGACCATCCAACTTTTTGCAATTTATAAATCTATTACTTCTAGTTTCCATTCATTTTCATTGATGTATTTTATAAATTTTGAGAAAAGGGCCCTAGCTATTAATACCAAAACAACAATCCACATACCTCCAACATTTATTACTACTGTATATATTATCATATGATCAGCCACTTATGGTGTTTGTTTTATCATTGCTAATATAAAATATTAAATACTGGACGTACTATAATGTGTATAGAAAAATGACGAAATATTGCGTCATGCTCCCTAGTCCCGGGTACACTGTGCATGTGTGGCAGGAGGCTGAGGTGCTCGAGGTAACTTAGGTCGTAGGCTCACGTGCAATGGTTGGCTAATGCTGTCATGGGACATCTGTAATTGGCTGATGCATCTTGTAGATGACCCCCCCCCCCAATCACCCCATGCTAGCCCCAGGGCAGGCTTAGTGCATAATTCTGTCACCAGTCCCCCTACAGGGTTCATCTGTTGCTCGCTCCTGTTTTTTGTAGTTTGTGCAGTCCTGTACTGTATAATTGCTGTACATAGGACACAATCAACCTACAACACAGCGTTTAAGCTGTGTTAAGACATCAACAGAACCAAAATGAACCTTAATACAGTACAGTGTAGTGGATTCCTCCCCTACAAACGCTTGTCGCTGAGTAGCCGACCCCGCGAATTCCCCAGTGTATGCCTCGTGGTCTAGGTCAACCAGCGCCGCCTTACATGACGGAGGTCAACTATTAAGCCACGCCTACCTCCGCTATATAAGACCTGACCTCGTGGTGACCTACCTCTCTTTTCTACCTACACCAACCAGCAAGCAACACCTCCTCCTCCTCCGCCGCTGCCTGGCGGCCCTTGCTCCCGCCGGCGAGCATGGTGACCCACAAACTGGTCCTCCTCTGAGCATCCTCACCAACCAGCTCTCTCTACATCACTCTTGTAACCACGCTGCCACTTCCCAGCACCAAGCTGCACTGTACAACCAATACAATATGTATACAGAAAGCACATTGTGAGTTTCCTTTCTCCATTCCATCCTGAGTGTGAACCCAAATATCTCGTACCCCACAAATTCCACAAATGGTGACCCCGGGTTGTGGAGGCGATGAATGTTGTGCTCCCCTCGCAACAGGTATAGAGTCCTCAGATGCGCCTGCTGGGGTGTGTGGGCCTGGGTCAGGAGCAGGGGCTGCGTGAGGAAGAGTGTCCATGACAGCAGCAGGGTCCACGACAGCAGCAGGGTCCACGACAGTAGCAGGGGGTACCTGAGGGAGAAAAGAGGTGTGTGTGGGTCCATGTTAGGAGCAGGGGCCGCGTCAGTGGTAGTAACTCTCGACAGGAGCTGCCATGCACAGGCTAACAGGCCTATTGCAGACTCCTTCTTTTCTTATGTTCTTATGCAGGGGGTACTGCTGGGCCGGGGTGGCGTCTGAGGCAGGACGGGTGTGCTGGGGTCGGTAGGACGTGGTGCTTGG